TTGATTTGTTGATTTTTGAAAAAGTTATGGAAGTTTTAAGAAAAAAAAGTGAAAAAAATGACAAAATTTGTCGATTTTTAAATTTGTAATTTTTTTGGATATTTCCCCCATTTGCGGGGAACGAGGGAAAATTTTTAAATTTTTAAGGGTAATGTCTTCAACTAGATACAATTTGTGATCTTTTGACGTATTGTTAAAAGAAATCGGTCCAGTGAGAGCTGAGAAAAAGTAGTGACAGACACAAAAAAAAAAATAAACACATCATGGTAAAATTAATACCTTCTCAGCTTCGCATCGAAGCTAAAAGGAATTTATTGAATAAAGAATTTTGTGCAATTTCTAGTTTTTGAAAAATTTTTGGACATTAAACTTTTCATTGATTTACTGTAAGAAATTGGCGTGTAAAATTTTACATTTTAGTAGTTCCACAATTACTGTGACATTTAACATCTTTGTGTCGAAGCGTATTTTTATGATAGTGTTATTATTACAGTTGAATATCTTCTATATTTGTCACAACCCTTCTGTACTAGGTTTTCTTTTTTGATTTTGGTTTGAGTAAAAGTTTGTTTGATGTAAAATAATTATATTATTATGCATTATGTATATTTTTAAAACTCTGGTCCTAATATAATTTTAACTGTAGACAATAAACTTTCTTTCGATATGTTTAGAATAAAAATTTATATTTCCACATGAACTATTGCCCGTCAAATTGGAAAATTTTAAGTAAAAAATATATAGAAAAATTATCGTCTAACTTAAAGCCACNACGCATCTTATAATTATTAATGAAAAATGTATAATCTGTATTTTAAATAACTTGTAAACAAACAAATAATTTATCTGTCATAACAAATACGATGTTCAACACAATTTCTTATTATTTATATATATATGTCAATTTATCAATTGTTAAATATGTTATCTGAATATAATAATCCTGTAATGTATAATTAATACAATAAACTAAAAAGATTACTAAAAGCGCTGACAACAATATCCCTGGATTGGGGGTAATATCATTTTACTATAAAAAGCACTGAAATCCTTTCAGTCGGGGAGAGTCAGGGAAAGACTCCAAAAGGAGGAGTGAAGACTCCAGACAGAGAGTCAGGGAAAGACTCCAGAGAAACGAAAAAAGGAAGAAGTGACAGCGACCAAGAGAGTTTGTTTTCTCCGAATTAAAATAAGAATAAAATTATCAGTCACAGCCCTGTGTTGTTGTCGGCTGACTTTTATGCGTTTTATTTATATATGAAAAGAACTTGTTTTAATTATTTATCTTTTGATTNGAAAAGAACTTGCTTTAATTATTTATCTTTTGACGAAGTGCTAATTAAATACTTTTAAACATATATAAACATATCGAGATAATTATCAAATCATTTTACAAGCAATTTACAAGAATAAAAGAAGTAAGTAATTTTATGTTATCCCAATTATTTGGATTTAATAAGTTTGAGTAAAGGATGACAAAGCAATAGATCATTTATTAAATTAATATCTTAAAGTATCAATTTTGACTGGTTGGTTAAAGAAATTATACATAATCACATTATATGGTATTCGTGAACTGGCTCTGCCGTTTCGTTGCCTTAAAGATGTTTTAAAAAACCTAGCGTGATTTCTACTGTATAAATTAGGCTCTGGTATTCGTGGACTGGCTCTGCCGTCTCGTTGCCGAGGTATTCGTGAACTGGCTTCGCCGTTTCGTTGCCTCTTAGTTAGGACATTAGAAACTAACCAGACAAAAGTTTATTCTACCTCTATAAGAGGAACTTAATATATATTTTTATATCTACTTGTCTTTGTCGTTCTAAACCCTCGAACCATACGACCCCGATAGAACCAAAACATCAGGTTCTCACTAAGCCCATCACCCTTCTTTCATTTTCATTATTTATATTTTACCAACTCTGCTTTTAATATATTTGAATTATAACAATTTCCACATGAACTATTGCCCGTCAAATTGGAAAATTTTAAGATCATTAAAATCTAAATAACAAATTCTATGTATATTAATATAATTTTCCCATATTACCAGTAAAATCTGAAGTCGTATTGGTATCTAAATAACAAATAAGTTACAATAATATACTTTTAGTAATATCAAGTGGATATAAACCAAATTTTCATTTACTTCTCATAGTTTCGGACAACATATTTACTAAAAAAAATACAATATATATTTAATTTTATATGTAAGATGGTCTATGTTCAAAATTTTAAATTTATAAATGTATTTTATGAATGTCTCATGAAAAACCTTCCTAAAAAGTAATATTTGTATAAAGAATTTTGTACATTGAGAACGTTTTTTTATTCTTAGACTTTGAAAAATTTATGGAAATACTGCAATCATTAAACATAGATAAATTTGTCCAAATGGGTAGAATTATCAAGGCAAACGGAAAATGAGAAGGTACTATTTTTACAATTATGTGATTTTTTTATATTTGTCCATGAAAATTCTAGACTGATTTTGATAATTTATGCTAAAAAAAACTGGAGAATTGTGATCTAAACAAGTGTATAAACACTGAATAAGTTATGTTTAAACCTATTCTGTATACATAAAATAGATTGAATAGAAATATGAGATATATAAATAACGTAATACAATACTTTTAAAACATAATTATGTTATTCGCAAACGTTATTTTTTTAAGAAAAATTTGCCTTCAACATAACTTTAAGTTACAGTGCAATTAATCCAACGAAGATCTTTTTTGCACTATGAAAAATTGGTTATCATATTGGAAATTTAACTTTTTAATTAACTTAAAGTCACATTAAGATCTAAATAACAAATTTTATGTATATTAATATAATTTTCCCTTCTTACCAATATTATCTCTAGTCATATTAATATCTAAATAATAAATAAGTTAGAATAAAATATTTTCAGAATTATCCAGTGCATAAAAATTCATTAAATCATTATTTACCTCTTATAGCTTCGCGAAAGTCATTAACTAAAACCAATACATTTTATAATTATTTTTTTCTTAAAAACTAATGTCTACAAAGTTTTAAATGTATAAACGTATGTTTTTTGATAATGTTATCGTATTCAATCGGAAACTTATAAAGTACTGGCTTCACAATCATGTGATTTTTGTTAATATTTGTATATGTATATTATGATAGTTTATGTTTCAATAAATAGTTTTAATCATGTTTGGTACAAATTGAAATGGGATTACGTTAGTTTTTTAAAATAAATACAGGAATGTTTAATTGTTACGGTTAATTCAATGAGTCATACTGTGCACGTTTATGTCTGTCACGGCAGGTATGCCATTGAAACCTGACAATAGTCTATTGTTAATCAGCTGCCGTCTTGTTTTACTCATGACATACACATTATAAAGGTCTCTGTTACCATTTCACACAATGTAATACAAATACTTTGATACATTTTTTTTAGCAAACTAAAATTATTTATTACTATACTACTGTAAAAAAATACATAATCAATTTTTTTCTCTGTGTTAAAACTGCTATTTCTTTAATTTTAAATCACTGGGTCTAAGAAAAATCTAATGAATATTTATTTTTCAACATAAACAATTGCCCGTCAAATTGGAAAATTTTAAGTAAAAAATATATAGAAAAATTATCGTCTAACTTAAAGCCACATTAAGATCTAAATAACAAATTCTATGTATATTAATATAATTTTCCCATATTACCAGTAAAATCTGAAGTCGTATTGGTATCTAAATAACAAATAAGTCAAAATAATATACTTTTAGTAATATCAAGTGGATATAAATTAAATTGTAATTTACTTCTCATAGCTTCGGACATTATATTTACTAAAAAGATACAAAATATTTTTAAATTTATATGTACCATCTCATATGTTCAACATTTTAAATGTGTAAGTGTATTTTTTGAATATCTCATGAAAAACCTGTCTAAAAACTAATTTTTGTATAAAAAAATTTGCGCATTGATAACGTTTTTTCATTCTTAGATTTTGAAAAATTTATGGAAGTACTGGCATCGTTAAACATAGATAAATCTGTCCAAATGGGTAGAATTATCGAGGCAAACGGAAAATGAGAGGGTATTAGTTTTACATTCATGTGATTTTTTTAATATTTGTCCATGAAAATTCTAGACTAATTTTGATAATTTATGCTTCAAAAAAACATTATTACTGTATCAGCACTAGGAATTAAAAAATATCTTTGAATTTTAAACCTATTATAAAATATTTCAAAACTATGCTACTATAAAGAATGGTATATTCAAATTTTTTTTTCTGAGTTAAAATTGCCATAACTTATTTTTTAAACCCTGATCCTAATAAAATTTTAACTGAGTAAACTGAAGACAATAAACTTCCTTTTGGCATGCTTATTATAAAAATTCTATGAAGATCTATTGTTTCACTTTAAGAAAATGGCGCGTAAAATTTTACATTTTAGTAATTGCAAAATTACTAATATTCAAATTACTGTGACATTTTGCATATACTGGGACATTTCGATATTAAGCTATCGATAAACCATAATCGTTAGTTAGATTATACAGCCAACTATAAACCGCCATTATTAATACAGACATTATATCATTATACACCAATCAATAATAATATGGCTGATTGTATGGTACACCATTACTTTTTGTACTTAGGATTTTCATTAGATCTTCATGAATAGTATATTAAAAATTCATTATTATTAGTGTTTCTGAATGTGATACAGGAAATAAAAAAACGAATGAATTTTTACAAAAAATTTGATGTCATACTAAGATCTAAATAACAAATGCTTTGTGAATTAATAACATTTTTCGCTCTTACCAATATTTTCCGTAGTTGTATTGCTATCTAAATAATAAAATATTATTAGTATTATCCAGTACATATAAATCTATTAGATTATCATTTACTTGTTGTAGCTTCGCTCAAGTCATTAGCTAAAAAAAAATACAATATATATTTAATTTTATATGTACGATCATATATGTTCAAAATTTTAAATGTATAAATGTTTAATATTCAAGATAAAATCGATAATTTATGCTTGAAAAAACATTATAAACCTATCAGCACCAGAAATTTGAAAATATTCATTCAGTTTTAAACATTTTATAAAATATATCAAACTATGCTATTGTAAAATAGGTATATTCAATTTTTTTTTACATTTTAAATTTACTATAATTTTATTTTTAAACTCTGGTCCTAATAAATTTTTAACTAATGACAATAAACATTCCTTTGCTTAGTGTGTGAAATTGGCTATATTGATATATTGGCATTATATCATTATACACCAATCAATATTAATATGGCTGATTGTATGGTACACCATTACTTTTTGTACTTAGGTTTTTCATTAGATCTTCATGAATAGTATATTAAAAATTCATTATTATTAGTTTTTTTGAATTTGATACAGGAAATAAAAAAACGAAAAACTTTTTATAAAAATTTTGTTACTGTTGGCTTTAAAATCAATTAACTGAAAAAATATATATTGCGGCAAAGTAATTTTTTTTTTAATCATAAATACATTAAAAAACTTTAATCTTCCATATGATAAAATTTTATCAAACTTACCGGACAAATTTTTAAAAAATTGAAAATTAAGGATTGAATTAAGGAATTAATAAGACAGTATTAAATACTCTTTAAAGTTCTTTAGTTAAATACTTACCCAAAACTTGAGATAATCTATCTAAACAAGTATAAAAAAAAAACTGAATTAGCTAAGTTCAAACCTATTCTGAATACTAAAATAGATTGAAAGAAATATGATATGTAATAAAAACGAAAAAATAATAATTTTAAATATATATTTGTTATTCTCAAACGTTATATTTTTAAATTTTATGTAGTAAAAATTAGGCTCGAACTTGATGTCATACTAAGATCTAAATAACAAATGCTTTGTGAATTAATAACATTTTTCGCTCTTACCAATATTTTCCGTAGTTGTATTGCTATCTAAATAATAAAATATTATTAGTATTATCCAGTACATATAAATCTATTAGATTATCATTTACTTGTTGTAGCTTCGCTCAAGTCATTAGCTAAAAAAAAATACAATATATATTTAATTTTATATGTACGATCATATATGTTCAAAATTTTAAATGTATAAATGTTTAATATTCAAGATAAAATCGATAATTTATGCTTGAAAAAACATTATAAACCTATCAGCACCAGAAATTTGAAAATATTCATTCAGTTTTAAACATTTTATAAAATATATCAAACTATGCTATTGTAAAATAGGTATATTCAATTCTTTTTTACATTTTAAATTTACTATAATTTTATTTTTAAACTCTGGTCCTAATAAATTTTTAACTGTTGACAATAAACATTCTTTTGGTATGCTTGGTGTGTGAAATTGGCTGTCAAATTGGAAATTTTTAAGCAAAAAAATTCATAAGAAAAATTGGACATTTCACTAAAAGCCACATTAAGATCTAAATAACAAATACTATATTTATAAATATCATTTTCTCATTTTACCAGGAACAACTGAAGTCGTATTGGGATCTAAACAATAAATAAATCAAAAAAATATACTTTTATAAAATCAAGTTATATAAATTAAATAATAATTTACTTCTCATAACTGCGGACAAGATATTTACTGAAAAAAATACAATATATGTTTAATTTTAAATGTACGTCTTATATGTTTAAAATTTTAAATGTTTAAACGTAATTTTCATTCTTATATTTTGAAAAATGTTTGGAAATACTGTCATCTTCTTATATAATAAAATAAGGAAAAAACGCTATTCTGGGAAAATTACTTAGTGTTCTCTGATTTTCAAAAATTGTTTTTTCAACGAAAGTGCTCGGTTATGAGACTCTAGGAAAATTATTGACGAAGGTCGGAAAATTTTTGCCGCTACTCCGCGAGCGTTTTAAAATTTCGACCATTTTCGAGAAAAACGCTCTTTGACGCCAGCGTTTTATGACTTAAGGTTTGAAATTTTCACCAGACCTGCCTAATAATATTTCTGAGATATCATAAAAAAATCAATTCAAGTCGTTCATTTTTCATTGTTCTACGAGCTTTTTTTTTCAAACGCTTGAGACGCCAGGGCGCGCCACCCGATTTTCTTTTACGACATTAAAACGATTTTTTTTGGATTCGCAGTTATACCACGGCGATCTGCACGTGCCGAAAAAGCGCAAAAAATCCAAAAATCCGACCACAACTCTGGCCGTTTGAAATTCATCAATTTTGAAGGAAAAATAACGATTTTTCGGTATGCCAATATTGCATTTAATTGTCCTATTATCTTATTATATAATAGAACTAGGAAAAAAATGCTTTTGTGGGTAAGTTACTTAGCATGCTCTGATTTTCAAAATTTTTTTTTTTAAGTCCACGCGAATGTTTTTATTAAGGGTGTTGACTTATTTTTGCTCATATGTATATTGTGACATTTTTTTTTATAGTGATTTTAATCACTGTCAGATATCATTATACTTGATCCAACTATGTCACATCACCACTGTGCTGGGTTTTTTTAATATTTGCTCATGAAATTTTAAGACAAATTTTGTAGATTTATGCTTCAAAAAAACAACGATATATATTAATAATGTAAAACAATACATTTAAAACTTGATATGTTATTCTCAAATATTATATTTTAAAATTTTATGTAGGAAAAAATATATCTTAATAACAAATTCTAAATATATTAAATATATTTTTCCCTCTTACCAAGTATATTTGAACCCCTATTGATATCTAAATAAAAATTAGTTAAAATAAAATATTATCCAATGATTATATATCAATTAAATTATTACTTACTTCTTATAGCTTCGCTCAAATTATCAGCTAAACACAAATATTTTATGTTTTTTTACAAACTTATACGTTCAAAATTTTTTTAATGTTTAGTCTAGTTTAATAAATTAGCACCAAAATTTGGTGCTAATTTATTAACTTTAAATTTATTAACTAATTTATAAACTTCATTTAATTTAAATTTTTATAAAATACCTTAAAACTATGCTACTGTAACTAAAACATATTCAATATATTTTTTTTCAATTTAAAATTACTATAACTTTATTTTTAAATCTCTGGTCCTAATAAAACTTTAACCAAGAAAATTAAAACAATTAACTGTCCTTTTTCTTATTTATTGTTAATATACTAACATACTTATTAAGTTAAATTCTATTCTTAAGTAAAATGTTTAATAAATGAACATAGTTGCATATTTTATTCAATCATAATAAAATTATATAAATTTAAATAATGATTAATAATTATGTTTAATTTAAAATATCGAAAGAAAAATTAATTTACATTCTGTTTTTGATTGAATTAAATATGTCCAGTGTTCAATAAAAATATACAATTTCATTCTTTAGATTGTTAAAGTTCTAGTAGTAATTTCTATACACCATATAATATATAATATATTAATATCTAGTGCTATGAATCAGTAAAATTATTATTTACTTCTAAAAATTGTAAGCACTTCACTAGCTAAAAAAAAAAAATATTTTATGTTTAATTTTTTTTGTACGAAATTATATGAATGAAATTTTTTTTATATTCCATCACGAAATTCCCCAAAAAGGTTATACTCTATAAGAAATTATCCAAAAATTAACATACACCAGTATGATATTCTTAATATACATAAATCTTTTATACGTAATCTGTGGAATTTTGACAAGTATTGAAAAATCGTTTAAAAATTAAAAATTTTTATAATTTTTTATTAATATTATTCAGTAGATATAACTTCAAAGATGTTCAATTGACCATAAGAGGTATTTAAGATGTATCAATACATCTTAAATGACATGTAACAATATATATTTTGATATAATAAAATTCTCATTTTGTCTTTAGAAACTGGTAAAAAGTCATTTAATGTACAATTTATAGTTCTTTAGTTAAGCACTTACGTGTTACTTGAGGAGTCATATCGACATCTAAATGAAAGTATAAACCTTGAATTAGTATTGTTCAAATATATCTTATGTATATTAATTCTATTTTTCACATCACTATACACAAGTAGTTTTAAAGCACAATGAAGGCAAAAATATTTTTACTAATTTACAATGGATATATTAACTAGATTTATCCTAATTGTTTAGTTTATAAATAACTAAATCTAATTAATATTTATTATTACTTGTATCATCTGAGGACGAGTCACTATCTACAAAAAAAAAAATACATCACACGTAGAATATTTTAAATAAATAAACATATTTCTCTTTAATAACTCATGATATACATGCTTAATAAAAATTAATGCACATTAATAACATTTTTTATTTTTTAAATTTAAAAATGTTTTGAAAATTCTGACATATAAATACAGATTTATATCTCTAGAGTTTAAAACATTAATACACAGTTAGTGTAATTTTGACAAGTATTGAAAAATCGTTACTAAATAAAACATATATAGTTAAAATATATAGTTTATAAATAACTAAATCTAATTAATATTTATTATTACTTGTACCATCTGAGGACGAGTTACTTGCTAAAAAAATATACATTAAATGTAGAATATTTTAAATACATAAACATATTTCTCTTTAATAACTCATGATATACATGCTTAATAAGAATTAATAACATTTTTTATTTTTTAATTTAAAAATGTTTTCATAACTCTTACAGATTTACACATATAAACACAGATTTAGTTTATATAAAAATTTCACTTTGAAGAAAATTGTCTTAGGACTCGTTCTTATCGACCGCAGTGAAGGAACAAAATAAGATTTTATGATTTACGATTTTATAATAATATATATACAATTCTTTTTTAAACTTATATATATAATATTTTAAATAAATTAATGCAATTTTTTGATTAAACTGTAAAAAAG